TATATATATATATATATATATATATTTATTATTTTTATTATATTGACCTTTCATTAGTGCCTGGCTAACAATACAGAAGTTACAATGATGCGGCTCACGTGCACTCATGTTATCGTATCAAATAACATAAAAATGACCTTTGGTCTGTATAAAGTAAGTTGTCTTGGCTGTGTTATAGTCAACTAGTATTTTGTAAAATACAGTCACATTTCCATTTATACATTATATATGTATATAGATTACTGTTATTTTGAAATAAGTTCTTAAACATATTTTTCCTAAAACATAGAACAGTAAATAAAGAAGTACAACAAACAATTATCTCTTCTAGTTACGACCTTTGTACTTGGTTGCTAAGCCTTTAAAAATTTTGCACGTGGAGGATATGAACCAAAATATTTTTTTTTAGATTTTTGATATATATATACATTTGAATAACTAAAAAATCATAAATTACTACATCAAGCTTAGTAACTAAGATGTATTTTACTCTAAAAAAATATTAAATTTCAAGCAGACTAAAGATACAACCTACCTTATTGAAATCTTGGTTCAAAAGAAAGAATTGGCACTAGCTATGTTAGAAATGCTGAGAAAGCCATTAGGGGGACATTCTGAGCTTCTGATTGGTTATTCATGTCATATATAAAAGTAAGTGTATATAAGTGAGCAATTCCAAAAAGGGAAAGAGGTGGGTGGGGTACCACTATGTTTGATTTATTACATGAGCAATATCTTAGCAATAGAAAAGATAAGACCTTACTTTATATTCTAGATTAATGAGGAAAGACTTCCCCTACTGAAAACACAATGATTAAGAAAACAAAGAATCCAATAATCCAGCCATTTATAGTCATCACAAATTAGTCTTCCTTTATCATCCTTCAATAGTCCTAGTCCTCTCCTAATATTTTGCTTATCTTTAATGTATATAAAGAGCTCCAGTTCAATTTTACATTTTCAGTCAACATTTTTTTACATACCCTTTTTGATTTCCTAATGTTTTGTATGACCAACTCAATTGATCTTGTATAATACTCTAGGTCTCCTGGCATAGTAATTAACTTAAGCTTTTTAAATTAATAATGGTTTTCTTGAATTTGATCCCTTATCAGAGCTGGGCTAATTCATCAATATAAACAATTACCTGGAGCAATGATTATAACAATTAGTGTCTTGTGAACTTATCAACTAATCAAAATTAATCTTTCTGATTACTACAAAAATATAGTAATCGAAATAATGATTAAATCAGTTGTCATAAAAATAATCAACTAATCAAAATTAGTTGTTCCAACTGTTACTATTTTTTATTATTCCAATAATTTATCAACCCTTTCTCTACTACCTCGGTGGATTACACCAACCATATGAACCCAAATTGACCATCAATGTCCATGCTATACCTTTTAAAGTGTTGTGTGTATCTTCATGAAATTGTTCAAGCTTTTAGTACACAATACAAGTCTTTTATAGACAAAAGTTATTATTTTCCTGTACCGAAAATATATTTGTGATACATACTTACCTCCTCTCACATTCTCGTTCAGTGCTGTCCTCTATATGTAAAAGTTTTTTCCCAAACCACAAGCGTTGAACTCCCACATGCCCCACGATTAGCATGGTTCACTGCATCTTGCATAAAAATCATCATGTGACAACCAATAGGAGTGCAACAAACCCTCCTCATGCATGTAACTCCCACTATTTGATTCTACCAAACTATCACTGAGATTAGACAAAAAAAAGGAAACTTGTTTTTAGTGGGGAACAAGAGTGAGAGGAGGTATGTACCTATTGGAAAAATATTTTCAGTATAGGAAAATCTGATATGGTACCTTACCTCCTCTCACGTGTGTGTGTTGTACCAGGTATACTCTGCACCCAGTGTGGAATTAAGTGTTGCATACATGGATGGAAACTGGGAGGAGCACAACCAAAAGTGAGTGAAAAATCAGGTGGGTTCAAATCCAAACCACAATATACCAGAATCTCAATCCAGGTGAAGAAAGACTGTAGAAAAACCATCTACATACATGCATGTGAGAAAAGCTAAAATGAATATGCCCCAAGTGTGGAGTAGCTAGGGTGGGACAGGTCTGACCGTATGCAGCCAGTTAACTCCAGTACAAAACCAAGTGGCATCTGGAATACAACTTCCAACCCATGGTAGGAGGAGGGTCCACACCAACTTCACCTCAAGTTGAGTAGAATGGAATTATAAATTTTTCAAACCGATCTATGAAATTGGGAGTATGTGCACAAATCCACAACCACCCATACATTTGGAAACACAACATCCAAATGATGATATGAATGGATGTACCAATGAGGCAAGTCACATCAAACCAAGCTCAATCAGACAGTGACCCCACTGTGCAACATCGGCCTTAGGTAATGAAGACTCTCTGAAGTGGAGCACAAAAGGGAAAACCTTTGCCCCAAATAACATCCTTCTCTAGATATGAGTGCGCAGAAGCCAAAGCACATGTGCACACAGCATCAACCTCCAGGAACCACTGCATGAAGATGGAGATGATGAGGAAACACAACCAACACATGTGTGAAGACTTATGGTAATTGGTCCAGCTTTAATCCAAAACCACTCCCTGGAGAACTGACATTCAGGTGATGGTATGATGAGAAATACCAATTGGAAGGGTAACTGCAATTGTATGAATCTACTCTAAAGCTACATCATCCTTGAGATAGGATGGCAAAAAAGCTGGAGTGCAGAATCAACCTCCGGGTCCTACCTCACGGAAGTGTACTGCTTCTGTAAAAGATATGCAACCTCATCCTCTGGATAGAAATGCACAGAAGCTGGGTGTAGCATCAACCTTCGGGACTCACTGCATGGAGGTGGAGCATATTTTAGTGAAATACGCGGAACATCTTTCCCCAAATAGGACAACACAAAAGTTGGAGCACAATGCTAGCCTCCCAGGTCCCACCACACATAAGTGGTTTGCCTCTAGAAAATATATGCAACCTCACCCTCTGGATAAAACCACACAGAAGCTGGGTGCAACATCAACCTCTGGGACCCACCACATGGTGGTGGAGTACGTGATTGGAAGATTGAATGCCATCTACACCAGAAGATGAATGGAAGTGATCACATAAAGGAGGACTCCTCCATGGTCCCCTTCCCCAGCTGGAGAGTCTGGAGGAATGTTTACACCAGAGAAAGTGCAACAGGTGACTATGAAAA